AAGAAATAACTAGGGAAAAATTCAACACTTATATCTTACAAAAGAGCAAATAGTATGAAATTAGAATATCAAGCTAACGAGTTAAGGAGAGGAGATAAATGACATTGTAATTTCTGCCCATTTGAAAGAGAAAAAAGTTTGACTGCTACTTACAAAATAATATCTTACAATGGAAGCAATTATAATTACAATGACATTGCTTATATTTGTGTAGAGTGTAAAAAAGCTCTTGATGATGATACTTTACCACATTGTAGTAATTGTGGTCGAATTATGAGAAACAGAATAGAGTGCTTTTGTGATTTAAGGAAAGATGAACCAGTTAAAACTCTGACAATAATGGAAATAATGGCTCAGAGTTATGTGGGTAGATTAGAACAAAATAAAGACTTGAAACAACAACTAACTAGTGCTAAGGAAGAAATCAGTTCTCATTTGGAAGCCTTAGAAGTTTCGAAGGATTGTCATAGTAATCAAAAGAAAGAATTATTGGATAAGATTCAAAGACTTGAAAGTGAGGTTGAGCAATTAAGAAAGCAGGAAACTCAACAAACTGCACAAGTTGAAATTAAAGAAACTAAGAAATGACCTTGATTGAAAATAAAGAAAGTAATTTAAAGAATATCAAGGAAGTATTTTCCTCTAATATAAATGAAATTCATTCCAACTGTCTTTTAGATAAAGTTAAAGAAAATATTCTGGCTTTTGATATCTTATTATGATATCCAACATAATGAAAAGACAGCTACATTATTACTGATAAAAATAAGATTTACATTCTTTCTGATTACGAATGTAACTATAGCACTACTGGATCTAGTATCTATCATGTTAAAATTACTGTCTCTGAATTAAATATGAAGATTTTGCCAAAGTTGCTGATAAATATAAAAACAATCCTATTTGATTATGAATAGCCCAAATAACTTTTTAATTGCTATGAATTATGTTGTTAAAAGAATTAAAAGGAAAAAATAAATCAATATTGTAACAAGATTATTTTTCTTCCAAATGTTTCTACTTTTTATTAGATAATAATGCACTTTCATTTTGCTTTCTTTTCTTAACATTTATTATTTTTCTTTCTTCTTGATAAATTTCATAAGTAATCTTTTCTTTCCTTAGATAAGCTTCAAGTGTTTGAGTATCATTTATTTTGAAAATATAAGGAGCAATTTTTTCACCTTGTTCTTTCTTCAAAATACTTTTGATAGTACTATAATTCTTAGGTTCCATAGTAGATCTGATATAAATAAGTTTCATATTATTATTTTATATAGGTGTAGTTCTATATATCACCTGCAAATGGGACATTATAAAATTGTTAACCATGTTACATTTGTGATGACTAAATTTTGATCCCTGAAATCCTTGGTAATACCAATGTTCACTTTGTCTGTTTTTGTTGCAGCATGCCCCATTTTACAAATCAATAGGAGTTCTATATTGTTGTAAAATGATTAAACTTATTTTTTTGACATTGATCCAAGGCCTATGTGTTGTATGAGAAATGTCAAGGTTCTAGATCCTACCCTCAGGATCAGCATAGATAACAGGTTACCCATACTAGATAAATTTTTAACAAACCATGTGAAATTCGGAAAAATTAATGATTGTTGATAACTTTAGTATCCACAGCAGACCTATCACATGCACTGGAGAAACTCTGGAATGCTATATAAAAATGGCTCAAAATCACATAATTTATCTATTTCATTTACCATCACATTCAAATAAATATAATAAAAATTTATTAAATCAATCAAAACCATGTTAATAAATAAATTAATTAAATTAATAAAACATTGTAAATCAATCAAAACATAAATCATATGAAATATCATCCTTACATTTGTCAAATCAAAGGTTGTATACTGAATAATGTTATGTGTTGGCTATTTTTTTCCATAGTGCCTCTTTTTAATGGATTTATACATTGATAGTTTTCACCCACAGATAGACACAAATATTTTGGAAAAACTACCAACAGAAAAATATTTCATGATCATACCTCTCTTGATCATTGCCCTATTATGCCTTTGCTCTGTACAATTTTAAATAAGAAAACAATACTACACTTCATGCATTGGTAGAAAGATGAAAACTTATATGTTTGTATAATATGAATTAGCATATAAATATCAAAAGGTGACCCTGCTCTTTTCTGTTTGATTAAAGTATTTTTTTAGATACAATGTTTTATTATAGATAGATATTCAGGGCTCGAATATTTAAACATCATTATTGTTCTCATCTCCCTTGCATACATTAGGCCAACCCAACCTGACGACCTAAAGGTATAATGATGCAATCAAATTTCTGAAGGCATGTGGCTCTGGCATTTATTGAAATTGTATTGTTGTCAAAGAGCTGCTAATGCATCCTCCTTGCCAATGGAAAAAACTCCATAGTTATGAGGGGTTGCTATTGTATTGAGATTTCGTATTTGTGAAAGGAAAATCTGACACATGTGATTAAGGTTGGTGTTGGACATAGATATTATCCTGCAAGGTCCAAACCCACCACACATAATATTAAGTGTAGGATTAACAATATCGTCACAAACAACTACAACCTTCACTCAAAAAATTCCAACTCCATCATCTCGAATACCAACTCGAAATAATAATCAACCACCCAACCAAATTCATCATCAGCTCAACCACCATCATCGAGAACACCCAAGTCGCAATGCACCCTGAACATGTTAGATGTTGTCCAATGCCAACACTGCCCATGATAAATTTTTAAGGAACTCTACAGCTTGTAATTGGCAAGGAAAAGTAATTTTTGGAAAAATTTTAGATAGTTTATTTATTTATTTGTTTATTTGTTTTTGTTCAAAGTGAGCCCCTTAAAGTCTCATTTCTGCATGGTCTTGCTTATTATCATCATTACTTGGGTAATGCAATTTATTTATTAATCCTTTGTAAAAAGGAATATAATAACACATAATAACCATCATGAACATTGATATGATATTAAGGACAAGGGCATCCATTCGCCATTCAAAAAGTTAAGATGTTTTATTCAACCAAGAGAAAAAATGCATAATGATTTATATACATATTAAATATTAGAAACCATCAGGGCAATCATTACCTATTTTTTTGGTTGCCCTAAAATTTATTTTATCTCTTCATTAATATTAGTATCTTTTTCACCTTCTGTATCATTCTCATTTTTTTTATATGAATATAAATATCTTATATAGTGATTGATAGTATTAGTGGTAGCAGTATAATTTTTATTAAATAAAAAAATGATATATATATACACACATTTTATTAATTATTAATAGTGGTATTAACCAAAAAAAGTATATGTGAAATTGATAATAGTAGTAGAAAACAAAATACATATATATTAATTATTAAAAAAAAAAAAAGAACATATATACATATATATTTTCAAATTAGAAGAATAGAAAAAAAAAATAACTAATAAACGTGTAAATGTAAATGTATACATACCATGCTTAAAGATTTCAATGTGATTAATATAAAATTTTTTATCAAGATAATTACTTTATCTATAATAATAATATAATGTGATCAATCTATTTAATTTGATTTGATTTTTAATAAATAGTTTGCCAAAGGGGAAAATTACAATTTATAAATACCATATATATATATAATAACCATCAAATTACATTATAGAATAAATACTAATTATTAAACTAATACATACGTCAACCAATTAATAATTATTAAACTATACATACAACAATCAATTAATAATTATTAGTATGAAAAATAATATAAACAAAGGATAATTTTCTTTTAATAATTTTATTTATTTACCTGCAAGTAAAGCTTTTTCAGCAAAATATTTCACATCGGCGTCAGGATCTTCTCTTAACCTATTCAATGCTGGTTTTACTTGTGTTTCCAATAATAAGCCTGTTTCAGGGGTTTGTTTAAGTACTGGTATTAATACTTCGTAAGATTTGGCTACATTAAATCTAATATTAGGAATTGGATCTGATACAAGATTATTCACTGTTGGAAGAATATAATCTCTGATAACTTCTGGCGTAACTGCAGGTGCAATTGTCTAATTAAAAAGATTGGTTGGTTAGTTAATTGTGCAAGGTTATTTTTTCCACAAAAAAAAAGGTCTATATATTCACCGTAATAGCAAAAATAGTAGTCATTCTGTATAAATAATTTGAATTATTTCCAAATGATAATACTTCAGGTATGATTGTACTTTTTGCCCATTCAACACCAAAAACTTCTGTCAATTTTTTTAAATTTATAGTTGCTGCCTCACGTATAGAATATACACTATCACCTAACCATGACATACAAAGGGCTCCCAATTTATCATTAAAAAAATTAACACCTAATTGACTGGCAAGTAATGGAATATAGTCAATAATGGCAAGACGAACACGCCATTGTTTATCCTCTGCCAATCCTACAATTGCTGGAAGAAGATTCTGTGATAAAAGCTCTACACCAATAACTTGTTTTGTTTTTTTGATAAATATATATATAATTGTTATGATAATGTTGATAAACAATATGATGGCAATAATAATAGTGATGATTATGGTGGTAATATAGTATATTAATTAATTTACCTTCATTAACTTGCTCCAATTTAGATATAATATTAAGCCTAACCTCAGGAAATTCATCTTTAAGAAGTTGCAAAAAGAGAGGTAATAAATGGTCTGTTGTACTAATATCACATAAAAAAATTATTAATAATTTAAAAAAAAAAAAATTTTATTTTGAAATTTATATTACGAATACATACGCTTCCTTTCCTAATATTGGAGCCAACCCACTTATTTGTGTTGCTAAACTTGCACGCACATGTTGTGAAGTGTCAGTGACTAAATCTTTTACACATGGTAAAATACTTGATAAAATTATTTGTTTATCAACAAATTGTGCAAATCCTATGTAGTAAGTAGTATGACAATAATTATTATTAATTATTTATTTGTAATGTTCAAAAAAAATTTTTCACTCATATTCATTTGTTGTTTCATTACCTGGAACTTGACCAGAAGCTGCTGTCCTTACTTCAGCCTCATTATCTTTTAATAAGCGAACAAATGCCATTACCAAATCATCACGCGTTATTTCTTCACCGACGGCTTTTGCTATCTAAAAAAAAAAAATTCAAAATTATAGAAAATTCTATTTGACAATATCATTAGTGCATCATATAGAAATTAATGTGTGTGCACGCACATACGTGCAATAACAAACCTTAACAAAATTTTCGGCAATCATATATCTGACTCTCCAACTTTTGTCTGATGACATATTTCTTAAAGTTTGCAAAAGGTACAGTTTACTTTCTTCTATGACAAGCAATTCAGAAATTTCTACCAAATCTTCAACCGTTAACAAACGTACAGAATCTTGTTCATCTTGTGCAAGTTTGTTGAAAATTGGTATAATGTCAGAGATAACTTGTTCTTTTGGTAACTCTTTTGCAAATTTCTACTCAGTTTTTCGAAAATATTATTATTATTTATATGATATTTTTTAAAAAAAAAAGACTTGTTGTTTTTGTAAACTTACTCCTAAATTAGTAGCTGCAGCTCTTCTAACCATTGGGGTTTCATCTATAGTTAATTGTTTAAACATGTTTCGAAATTCTTCCTGAGAACTAGCGGTAGCATTCTTGTAGGCACCGGCATATAAACCACAGGCACTTGTACGACTAGTAAACCAATCACCGCCACTTAAGCGTTTAATAAGTGGTATATAAAATTGTTCAACTTGTTGTTGAGAAAGAACGACTGCAATTTTGTTCAATGATTCAACAGCCTATAAAATACAATATGGCGTACGAAAAATAAATAAAATTTTTTTAAAAACAAAAAAAGACAAATTCTTTATGAATCAAGATTATATAAATGATTGACTTTTTTTCATAAAATTACCTTCTCTCTAACAAGTGTTTCTTCGACTGCAGCTAAATTTTCCAAAGGTCCAAGTATAAGATGTGCATGATCTTTACCACCAACAAAATCTACAAATTTTCCAAGTTCTTCAGCCAACGCAAGTAACACTTCATCTTCATCATCAATTGATTCTGAAATTATTTTAAAAAAGAATTATTATTATATGTGTAAACGATTACTTGATTGCTTTAGAATATTTCTTTCTATGCTAAATATATTTGATAGTATGATTGATATCAAGCATATTTTGATCTACACAAAATTCTTATCACTAATTCAATTTGATTGATTATTCGATTCATTTTTATTTTTCAAATAAGTTCTCTGATAATTTAAACCCATTTATCATATATAAAGTGAAATATCATTTGACGTCATTTGATACTCGGCATTTAGATGTACATCTATTTTATTATTCGAATGCGAATGAGTTTGTGATCTTATCCCTATTCTCTCAATAACTCACCATCAAGAAATGGTATAAGCTCCTCTCTGGTTCTTTGATCCCCTAGGGCTAAAGCGATTGTGGAAAGGCGTTTAATAGCATTCAACCTAATATTAACATCGTCAGCTCTTAGTTCGTCAAGTAATACAGCAATAGGATATAGACTATCATCGTTCGAAACTTCGTTATTCATTATTATTATTATATTATTTATAAAAAACTATCGTATATCAAAATTCCTTTCTTTTAATTAAAATTTTTTATATAAAAAAAAGGTTATGGAGATGATTTGCGTATGAATTTGACTTTAATAAATGCTATCCAGAAATTACGAACAAAATTGGTTAATTTTGGCCAAGAATTATATTTATTAAATATTTTTGAATTTCTTACTAATTAACGAAACAAAAAATGTCACTCAACACTGTTTTAAATCAAGAAAATATTAGTTTAGAAGAGACGATTAATTGTAATTTCAAATTAAAGGAGGAAAATGAAGAACTCAAATCTGAAATTATCAAATTACAAGAAAAAATTAAATTGTTAGAGTCAAAGCTCAACGACAAAGTATCATCACCAGTATCAAAGAATGCAAATGAAAATGAAATTTGCGTTGAATCAAATATTGAATTAAATGGGAACAAGAAATCATTGACTTTGGAGGAATATTTGCGTTATGGACGGCAACTTATTTTACCCGGTTTTGGTCTTTCTGGTAACTTTCAATAATATTGTTCATAATATAATGTCCAATAATAATAATGCTAATAAATATAATTGATGGAAAAAAGGTCAAATCAAGCTTAAAAATGCATCAATTTTAGTAGTTGGTGCAGGTGGTTTAGGAGCACCAGCTGCGATATATTTAACATCTGCTGGAGTTGGTAAAGTAGTATTACTCATTTAGTTGAATCCAATTAGTTAATCGATGCTTTTCCAATTGATTGATTGATTGATTGATTAAATGATTGTATTTAGGCAGATTGGGTATAATAGATTATGATAGTGTTGAATCATCAAATTTACAGCGTCAAATCATTCATAATGAATCAAGGACAGGAATTTCTAAAGCTCAATCAGCAAAGATGACTATTCAAAAGTATTTTTATTAAAAAAAATTAACTGATTTTAATTTAGTGACATTAATAGTAAAATTAAAATTAAAATCAAATATCGATTTATCGATTGATTGATTGATTGTAGAGAAAGGAAAAGAAATCAATAATATGTTTTTTTGGAATATTTTGTAGGTTGAATTCACTTTGTGAGTGTATAGCGTATGATTTACTGTTGGATAATACTAATGCGCTTGAGATAATTAAAAGGTAAGATTGATTCTTTTTCAATTCATGATCTAATGATTACTTTATTTAAAAAAAAGAATATTGTTAAATAATAGCTATGATATTGTAATTGATGCAACTGACAATGTCGCTACGAGATATCTCCTTAATGATGCGTGTGTGATATTGGGTAAACCTCTTGTGTCAGGTAGTGCTTTACGTATGGAGGGTCAATTAACAGTCTACAATCATAAAGATGGACCATGTTATCGATGTATGTTTCCTAAACCTCCACCACCCGAGAGCGTACTAAATTGTGCTGATGGAGGTGTATTAGGCGTAGGTTGTGTATATACATAAGTTGCAAATAATAAAATATTTTCACTACAAATAGTTGTTGTTTATTATAATGATAATATTATTATTAATAGTTACTGGGGTTATCGGGTGTTTACAAGCATTATTAGCAATCAAAATAGCAATCAATATGGAAGGTTGGTTTAATTTCAAGATTTTATCAACATTAATGACAGTGATCTTATTATTATTACAATAATAACAACAACATGGCTGGATTTTTATTTGGATGAATAGAGGGTGAAAAGCCTCATAATCTTTTATTATTCTCGGCTGCAGACTATCCACTTTTCCGATCCATGAAGCTACGATCTAAAAAGCCCAATTGTTCAGTTTGTGGTGAAAATCCAACTATAACGCAATTACAAAACTACGTACAATTTTGTGGTACTGGTGCCTTAGACAAGGTAATCAATCATTTGGTGCGATTTTTTTAATTATTTAATCAAATTCAAATGTTTTATACTGTTGTTAGTCGCCGGATGTGAAATTGTTGAATCATGAAGAGAGAATCAACGTCAAAGTAGGGGCTCGTTTAATTTTGAAAATGATATTTATGATATGATTAATGAAGAAATCTTTATTAATAATTCCAATTATATTAATAATATAAGACTTATAATGAGATACGTCTTCAATGTATTACGCATGTTCTTATCGACGTTCGTGAAAATGTTCAATTTGATATCTGTCATTTACCAGGTTCAATCAGTATGTACATACATATAAATGACACTATTATTATTATTATTATTTATATAATATATATAATAATATATATATATATATATATATCATAACAATAACATCAAAATAGACATTCCGCTCCAAAACCTTTCAACTAGATTGGATGAAATTGAAAAATCATTACCATCTCCAATAACACCAGGTAAATTTTCAAGTACAAATTTACAAGCATACACAAACATATATTAAAATGCTTCCCTAAAAAAAAAGTTTATGTAGTTTGTCGACATGGAAATGATTCTCAGCATGCAGTTCAACTATTAAAAAAAATAACTAAAGGGGAAGTTAAAGACATTATTGGAGGATTGTATAGATGGGCAAAAGAAGTTGATAATCAATTTCCTATTTATTAATAGAAATTTATCATCTATTAGTGTATTTACTTAGTTTTTCCCCAGTAGAAATTTACATTCTGGTATTTGTTTGTTTTATCTTTTTTATATCATCCAAAAGGAAATAAAAACAAAAAGGTTTGTAACACCAATTTTAAAATGAAATTGATATAATTGGTAAAAAAAAATATAATATCTTTGCTCTTTAAAACAAAGTAAAAATGTCACAAGATCCAATGAGATATACTAATACCAACGGTAATAATAATAATAGAGGTGGTCCCGCGCCCGTGCTCAATAATAATAATAATAATAATAATAATAATAATAATAATCATCATTCATCTTCCGCTAATAATGCTAGTGCTCCTCCACTTCCTACTAGAAATAGAAAGGGTGGGTATTTATACATTTAATTTCAATTTGATGGATTTTTAATTCAAAAAAATCATTACTAAAAAGGCATAATATATACATATAGGAGCTGTTAGGAGTAGTCAATATGGACAATCAATAGAAGACATTGATATTGAAAGAACTCCTCAAATACATCCATCGACAACACCAATGAACGATTTGCAAGCATTGGCAAAAAACTATCAAGTTATAGTGACGACATATAAAAAAAAAAATGCGACATTAGAACATGATAAAAGTGAATTGATTAAAAAAAAAAAAGTTGCATCCGGACTAAAAGCCAAACTGGAAAAGAAAGCCGAAGATTTGGGACAACGACTTGAACAAGAGAAACGACAATTTATTAAAAAAAGAAATGATACAGATCTTGAGATTCAAGAATTAAAAAAAAATCTAAGAATTATTAGCGAAGCGGCGTCAAAGTATCAGTCGGAACTTGGTAATGCCACAAACGTTAGATGGGATGACGATGATATCAATAATTCTGTTCAGTTGGCTAAATGGATTACTGGGATTCAAAATACACTCAACGACTTTGCTAATATTAAAGGTAAGGATGTGGAGATTAACGAAGAGATGGAGAAGAACGCGAATTTGCTTTTGGCAGAGTATAAATGTAGAACTCGATTAGGAGGAAATGTCAAAACTGGTAAACCTGTGCTAAGTGCAGCTTTACAAAGATTGGTTTTAGTTACGCTATTTAATGAAATAGACCAATACTTGGATCAATATAAAAATCGGACAAAAGCAGCAAGTGATGACCAAACAACCACTGATGACAAGGATGTGGAAGCAGGTGTTGCAGTCACATTAAGAAATTTGGCGGGATTATTAAATGAATTAATAGAAACACGTCAAGGAGCAGATGACACGTCACGTATCACGCCTGTTAAAATACGTCAACAAATTTTTGCCGTATTGGGAACAAGAGGATTTTGTAAACCGGACCATCCATTTATAAGTCATCTGATCCAAGTCGTTCTGAATTTGATGCTAAAATATCGAAAATTTAAATCAGAAGAAAAAATTTCAGACAGTGAGATTATTGCAAAAGAATTGGTTTTGCAGATTGTTCATTTATATTTCAGAATGAATGCTCAGGAGCCTGTTCCCGACTTTAGACTATTTTTCGAGAGCGGTGTTGCTATACAAACCACGTATATGGAGGGATCTTGGGATGACAGTAGCATTAACGAATTAGAGGTTGAGATTTGCTCATTCCCATTAATCTATAGTAAAAGTAAAGAAAATGGTAAAAGTAAAGAAAATAAAAAAGTCTTATGTAAAGCTCAAGTTTTAAGCAGGAAATTATTACAACAACACCCAGGACGGGCTGGCTAATTGGATGACGATGGTACTAGAATGGGTCGGGTTGGTTGTTTTATTTATCAATTATGTTAACCATATTCATTTATTCATTATATATTATTCATTATATTTATTATTTAACTTAAATTTAATCTATGTTTAATTAATATTAAATAATTAATAATAAATACAAAGTGTTTTCCCGAAAATAATAAATAATAAACAGTTTTTTTATGTTTTTTTTGATTATTATGTTTATAAATTAAATAAATAAAATACAGAATAAATATATAAAATGAAATAAAAATAAAATAAAGTATCGTATTATAATATTTACATGAATTTCTCATACAATTAACTATATGGATTGTAGGGCGGCTGATTTTGTGGATTTGACGGTGGTGGAGTTGGTGAAGATGGATATCCGTAATAGAATGCAGCGGGGCTATTTTGCATAGTTAGACTTTGGTCAATGATTAAGCCATCACCAGTCATAAGAAGTTGTGGTGGTGGTGTTGGTGTTGGTGTGACCATTTGTGGCTGTAGTTGTAATTGTTGAAGCAATTGCGCCTGTTGATCAAGCTCTTGTTGGATTTGCTGTTGAATCTGTTGTTGATGAAGTTGTTGTTGAATCTGTTGTTGTTGTTGATGAAGTTGTTGTTGATGAAGTTGTTGTTTTTGGAATTGTTCGAATTTTCGAAGTTGTTGTTGTTGTTTATGAATTTGATGTTGTTGTTGGAGTTGTTGTTGGAGTTGTTGAAGTTCTTGTTGTTGTTGATGAAGTTGTAGTTGTTGGATTTTATTTTTATTTTGAGATCTTTTTGGTGGAGGTGGAGGCGGAACCGGATTTATATTTTTTGGTGAATCATCATCACCATCATTGCTATTATTTATTGATAAAGAATTGGTCGAAGATGTTTCTGAAGGTGATGAATACACCTCGTTATTCGTAGTGGTGACACTTTCTACTGACTTACGACGAGATTTTTCTAATTTTTCCAAATAATTAGAATCCCTCAATTCTTTTCTAACATTCATCAAGATTATTCCAAGCATATTACTACCAGTACCATCACCACCGTCACCCCAGAATCTATCAAGTTCTGTATGTTCTACCAATATTTTATCACCAGTTTCCAATAATCGTTTGGCCAATATCGGATGTTGTTCGAATTTTTTCTTGACAACCCATTCCATTACGTTTACGTTTATTTCATGCCAATTTGGATCCATGAATTGTTGATACCTTCTCGCCATATTAAAAGCATCTCTAGGTTTATAGCATTTTCTGATCAGGTCACAAATTTCTCTTCTGGTGTTTTGAAACTTGGCAGCCTGAAATAAGTGTTCACTTGTTGGCCAACTTTTAACTTCGGGTGCACTTCCTGGACGTGGTACAAGTGCTGCTTTTATAGGAAAATTTTCTTTGAAATTTGTAAATTCATAGTAGGGTTCATCTCGATTGTAAAACCATATTGTATTATAAGGCGGTTTAATAATATTTGGATTAGTATCATTTAGATTAACATCATTTAGATTGGCATCATTTAGATTAAGATTAACACATCGATTAAAATTTTGGTTAGCATTATTTAAATGATCAAAACTAGCTTGTAGTGACTTATTTTTTTTTTTTAGATCCTGATAGACTATTTCTAGCAAAAAAAAAAAGATATACATATATAGTAAATGATTATTAGTATTCGTAATGAAGTATTGTCATCATGTTATTTATATATTTACCATTCTCTATTAATATTTGGTCATTAACTATCTTGGCATGTCTCTGTTGTTGCTGTTGTTGTTGTAGTAGTGTTTGGGCATCAAGTTGTTGTTGTTTGGAGTCGACCTCATTGGTCGGATTAATTGCTTCTTCTTTGACGACATCATCAGCGTTTTGTTGTTTCAACTCAGTTCCGATGTCTTGTGTAGCTACTTTTTAAAAAGTCGTTTATTTAAAGTTTAATATAATATATATGTCGTGATGTTATATTAGAATAATATTTATATATAAACATACTTTGTGTATTACTATCTTCAACAGCTACTGAATTCTGTTTTGAATCTGGTTGTTGAGAAATTGCGGGGCTGCTGTTATTGGATTCACTATTACTTTGTGGTTCTTGTAAAGCTACCTCTTGTCCTTTTTCGTTTTCTTTAACTTTTGACGCTTCTAAGTCGGCCATTATTACTCATTAATTATTAATAATATTATTAAATTAATTATAATATTATTATTATTATAATAAAATAATTTAATTTGATAAGAAAATTATTTTTTTTTTTATTTACAAAGAAATTTCTATAATTATAACAATATGCAAATTCAGGTCTTTATGTGTGACAAAGAGAAGTACAATGTCTGGTTTGAAGATTTTATCATTCATTCATACAAAAGAAGAAAAAAAGTTTTAGTCATGGAAGATATGAATGTGCAAAAATAAAAGGAGTATTATGTTCGATACTAAAGCAATTAGACGTACTAGTTGAGACTGCTCTTGAGAGTTGAGGAATTATATGTGCTTTAGAGAACTATAAGCATGGCAGCAGTAGTGATATACAGTCAAAGCTCGTTACAGTGAACAATAGTAAAATCTCGTTACAGTGAACCTTTTGGTTTGCACCAATTTATTTTTTTTTATGATACTTTTATTAACCGTCGCTCGTTACAAAATTTTTCATAAGGATCACTGTAACGAGCTTTGACTGTATGAAGAATTAAAAAGATTAACACCACCTATGAAATATGTTATATTATTCAGGGATTTCAAATTTGCCACAATTGGCGCAATCCGGGACACTAAGATCATTAACTTTACTTTTGGCATAGTAATGTCTCGTATGGTATAGGTAGTTTTTTTCTGGAGGTTTGTTTTGCCGTGGAATTATTTCCTTTTATTTCCTTTATATTATGACAAGATCAGCATATTGCTTTTGTGGAGATATCAAATGTATCCATTATGGCCCCACAACAATTTTCCTCCTTTACTTTTTCCATCTTTTGCTCTTTCCAAAATCCCTTGCATATACCATTAAAAACTTTACCTTCAGAGAAAAATGATTCTCAAAACAGAAATTGATCGTCTCGATACTTCAGGTGAAAGAATTTACGCCAATACTTCATTGTAAATAAAGAACAACAAGAAGATCCATAGATGTTATGTACCATATTAATATTAATAGAAACAAGGGGCCGAAACAAAATCTGTTGAAACGAGAGTTCGACTGTAACCTGCAATATTTTCTTTGTTTTTTTCTTACAAAATTTCTGGGATTTTTAGATTGTCAATCATGTCAGGCTAATGTCACAGTATTAAATTATCACACTCACATTTCTTGTTTCTTTAACAGATGTGTGTTGTAAAGTAGTTTTATTTATTACATATGTATATTTTTTAGGTGCAAGGTTTTTATAATTGTACAATTCTTTTTTACTAATCCTTGCACAAAATTTACGAATCATGTACGCAAAGAAGTAAAATCTCAGTCATTATGTAGAGATCGAGTTCATTTTTTGGTTGTTTGGAGTGATCTAAAATTCCACAGGAAGAATAGAAACAAAGTATTATCCAATCATAATATTGAACTTACACAACATTAAATAAATATAACCGTTACACAAAAATTAAAAAAAAAATGAATTCATTCGTTTTGGGTTAGTATTAGTATTAGTATTAGCATTAGTGGAAATTTGAAATGTTGCACTAATTTTTTTAATTGTGCAACAATACAGGCAATAAAAAGAACAATAAACTGGATTTGAATTGGATATGAACTTGATCTCCGATTTAGAGAGTAACAACTATATACTGGCGAAGTTTCAGAAGCAATGAGTTTTGTATAACATTTAGTGTAACAACAAACTTCCACACTGTCTATAACTGATCATTGGGACCAGGAAATTTGTCCGTTATTATAAAGTGATTTTCAAGATACAATCCGTTATACGTAATAAAAAGTTTAATTAATAATATCCATTATAGAAAGATATTTCAAATAGTAAAAAATTGGGACCAAACTTTTAATCCGTTATAGAAAGATCCGTTATAGACAGTGTATACTGTATGCTCTTTTAGGTTCCAATGATTTAAATAGTGGTTTTAGAGGACCTTCGAATAAAAGAAAAAAATGAGGCAACGCAGCACATAATTTTGTGCGGAAAAAATATAAATATATTCTAGAAAGAATTGGAAAAATATCACGGATTTTTTCGAGTAAAATAATCGACTAAACACATAGTAACCGTGATTTTTTTTCGCGCATAGTGCGTATAGTGCGCATGGTAGCATAGTGTATATATAACATAGGGAGGGAAATATCATAAATGCGCATATAATAATAAGAAAGTAAATGGCATACAGTTGAACCTTGTCGTAACGAATTTTGTCATAACGAATTTTTGTTACAACGAATTTTGAAAAAAAATTTTTTTTTTAATAATAAAAAACTTTTGTTACATCGAATTTATTAATATTAATTCGTAATCCGTGAAACAACTGCAAAAATTTGCCGATCATTAATATGTTTTTGTGGCGATAATAAACATTATA